ATTGCACATCATGCCGTAAATTTCCTACAATAAGTTCTGCCTTGTTCTTGCTCAAATGCCTTTTTTCGATAGACCTATTTTTCAGGAAAAGCTTATATTATCGGGAGGAGGTTTGCGTCTCGAAAATGGTCCATGGTAGCGCTTATATTCGGAGATTAAGAGATCAAGCGTCTGGATACTTTTAAGCGCACGCAAGATTACTATCATGACCATATGAGACGATGTGAAGTACAAAACTAGTTCTACAGTGATCAGAAACATTAAAAGTCTTTGAAATATCATTATGACAAAATAAAGAGTAACCCAAACAGAAACTAGCTTAATTTATATAATCGGACGAATGTTTCTTCTTCTTTAAGAGCTACTTGCAACTAAATATAAAAGCCATAAGCTTATATCGGGAGGGCTGTGATATGGAAGAATGTTGGCGTCTTAAATTCGGTTGGCTTATTTTCGGGTTGGGGGGAGGGGGAATTTATTATCCGAAGTTTACGATAGTTTCCAAAACGAATTAGTCTATGGATGCAAATAGTCCAGCTTCCACCACACCACCCCCCCCCCCCTCTTCCACTTGATTTTTAACCTCAGCAACTTCGGTTAAATTTTACAACTTTACTTTAGAAACCCTGCCGTTATATCTGGGCAGTGGCATTGTTCAGTCTGAAAATGGTTCAACCCTATTAAGATTTTCTCCAGATCGAACAGATTTTCACCGTCGAGTCAGCAGACACTTGCAGTGATTTGCACCCGGGCCGGGGGGGTATTCCCAGAAATATTTGGTGGGGGTGTGTGGCCCGCTTCCCAACCCTTACCCTCCTATTTATGACCTATTTATGACCGTTGTGGCTGGCACAGTTGTCTTAAACATAATTTATGAAGGGCTTTTGTTGATGCTCTTGTCGATAATGATGAAAAAGTAGCTTCTTCTAAAAATCATACCCAGTTCAAGACTAGAGTACAAAAACCATACCCTATTTAAGACCAAAATGGTCAAAATCGTAACCCTATTTATGACCAAAACGGCTGAAAAACCATACCCTTTGGGGCTGCAGATACTTAT